TTGGTACTAATTTAAACGAAGTGTCAGTTTAATATTATTTTTTTAATTTACATTTTCATCAAAATATTACAAGGAATTTATATAAAAGTTGGAGAAAAAATACTAGTGAAGTTAATTAAGATTTTTTATTTGGTTTTTTATTATTTAGTGTAGTGTACAATTATAAGATTTTAACTTTTAAAAAATAGATAAATTTATCCATTAACACCATATCTAATTCACATGTCAGACAAAAGGAAAATCCCCGCACTGTCTTTGCACAATCCTTTGAAAATGCGTTCCGTTTTGTGAAATAAATATAGTTAAATTAAATAATAAAATCAAAAAATCAAAAAAATCGTGCTTTATTCTAATATATTAAAAAATCATGATTTTTTTTCCAATCCTGGTTAGCAGACACCTGCTTTAAAAGCTCATTTTCCTCAAAAAATGGAGTTGTTTATAAGTAAAAATCTGGATATCTGGCAATGCTATTTACAACAATAATGTTTTGATTCTCTAAGCTGCAAGTCATTTGTAATAATTAAATCAACAAATAAATAAGTCATCTAGTTAAGCTAAATATTTGCCACAACCTACTTAAGGAATTAATTATAAGCCAAAATTAAAGTTATGTATTACACTACAACAATAAATTCCTTATCTTGGAAAACCTCCATGGAAAACTTCAACTCTACTTCCTCAATGAGAAGGAGCCTATATGCTCACACCCACCCATTAGTAAAGCAATAATGTGCGAGAGCAATCCTGTAGCACCAGAAGAGGGCAGAGAGATGAACACTCTAGGGTTTTGAGGCACATTCCCCACATTTTTATATGTGGTAGAGCCATGCTGCAGCTACGAGTATATAAGTAGTATAGTTGTAGCATGTATGGGTCGACTCAACCGGGGAAGGACCACGCTCTCACAGAATACCAGCGTAAAATAGCAGCTTAACACTCCTGTGTTTCGTATGGGGAGTGTAGAGAACCGGAGACCCATTTTAATAGAAAAGAGGCATTCCATTTTAGTCCTCATGGGTGACAAGGCATCTGCATTTTGATTCGCAAACGAGGATAGATGTAGATGTCTATGGGCCACAGTAACCACTTACCATCAGGTGGACTGTGTGCTCGTTTGTCACCCTATCGTATAAAAAAAATCCCTACATATAAAAAAGCTATTCAAAATATTTATTGTAAACTAGAAAAAAATCTACATTTTAAGTCCCATTATTTTTCACTGTTCTCATTTTTTTTCTAAAATAATTTCCTTTCCAAATGGTTACTATTATAAGTTGTTTTAACTTTTTGGTCAATCACTAAATTTATCCAATGTTTTATGTCTGAGGGACCTCTGATAAATTTTTTGTTCATGGGTGAATATATGCTATTTGAATTCCAACGGTCCATAGACAAATTTTATGTTAAACATAATATATTATTGTTACTGTATGCTTAAGCAATAAAGAACATCGTCTATTATTTGGCCCACACAGTCAATTCACAATAATTGTTTAATTTAAGGCATTAATAGCTTAAAATAGTTATAAATGTATAGTCCCCTGGCCTCCCTCATTACTAGATTGTATAATTTTATGGTCATATGTATTATATACTTAAGCCATTATGTTTTCTTTTAACATGATCATACGCCTAAATAAACATCGAAACATATTTTATGAAAATACATTGTAAAAATATTTATTAATATAAAAAAAAATATCTTATTTTCACGTGCCGTTACAATTATGTCACATCACCTGGCGAAACTGAAAGACTAAAAATTTTACATAAAACCGCTAAAGTATGTTTTTGAGCTTGAACTACAAGCGTAGTACAGTGTGAAGTTCGAAGTAAGCTAACGGTGATGAGCAAAACTCAAATAATATTGCGTCAGTTTTGGATTCACTGTAAGAAAGCGTGTTTGTGCCAGTCGTTGGAGTATTTCCCTTGGTAAGTATACGTTTTTGTATTTTGTTGTTACGAAATTGTAAATTTGCACAGTGCAATGTTTATTTTGTGTAGATGTCATGTATTACGTTAAACTGTGGTTAGAAAAACAAGTGATGTTGTTTTTGTAGGTTGTGTGTGATTTTGTCACTTCTCTGGCGTCACTTCTCTGGCATATTTCATGTCAGGGGAAATACAGCCGTCCCAGGGAAGTGATGAAATTTTGTTTCGTTAATATTTAATCTTATAACGCTTCAATTTATTTGTTCTATGTACCATGATATCATGGCGAATGTTAAAAAGAAGCAAACAAGGGAGATGAGAATCAAGATGATACATTACTCTACCAAATAATTAAAACGATCCGGTTAATAAAAAAAAGGAAAAGGGTCAAACTAAGAGCATTAACGACATGATTGAAAGGGAACAAAGAGCTGTTAGAAAAATACGGAGAGAGAAGACTATAAAGTTACACTCTACCAGAAACTATCAAGTAACACCACCATCATCTGATAATGAAAACCAACCTCCACTTTCACAAAGCAATTTGGCTCTGGCTGCTAAAAGACGATCAGAAAGTCAGCATTAAGTACAAAATAAAGTTATAAAAAAACAAAAATATGAAATTACGTCAAAAACTACATTAGTAACAAAACAAACTAAGGCGCATCGAAAAACAGAAGAAGGAGCTCCAAGTGATATCGGAGAGACATGTAAACGAACCCCTGACAAAGTAGTCGCTTTAGGAACTAACATACACATACACATACATACAAGACTTTGTTAAGGAATTAGAAAAAAATTGCCCCAGCATTCATATTTTTGTGATACACGAAAAAGAAATTGATTTACGAAGGAAGATAATTAAAGATAATTGACCGAACATTAAACCTTTTGCTGGTACAATAAAAGTACATGAAGTCCGAGGAACCTTTATGAGCAGTACGTAGTACATCAAGAGCTTCAGCTGCTTTGGTAGCAACTTTTGCCCTCACTTCCATTTAGACGACATTAAATACACCCAAAATGATAAAACCAAATTGCATGTTGCTGCAGTATACACCGATTTTGAGGAACTTGTGCAAAACAAAATGATTCCACAAACATCTACTAATCTGATTAATATTATAGACAATAAAGACACGGCTATGATTTTTTTTATAGGATAGGGTTCCGCTGTTTTACGCTGGTATTCTGTGAGAGCGTGGTCTTTCCCCGGTCGAGCCGACCCATTTGTGCTATAACTATACTACTAATATAGCTGCAGCATGGCTCTACCATGTATAAAACGTGGTAGGGCGTATTATTGTCAAGAACCGTAAATTTATACTTGTGGAATAATAAAAAATATAGATATGCTGGCGCACGTTTGTCAGATTATGATGAAGACGAAGGATAGCTCAGGGTTACTTTCCTAAAGATCTCCAATAAGATGGTACTCTTTTTAGAATATCTCTCTGATTTTAAATGGGAACGGATCTTGACCTACCAGTGCCAAATATACTTATGAAAGGTAACAGATTATTCTACAAGTTTCCAGAGCCAGTTAATGTATTTGAAAAGTAAATTGTTGATTGTTTTGTATTAAAGTAAAATATATTAATTTAGTCGAAATTATCTTCTTTGCAATAAATGAAAGTTTTCATTTATACTGTGCACTGATAATTTTTAAGTTTATTTGTTTAGATAGCCTTGATAATGATAGGTGTTTCACTAGATAGTACTATTATTTTTTTTGTTGCAAAGTTTATTTTTTTGTTTAATTTAGAAGTTTTATTTAGATACACCTAAACATTGCTTTAAGTTTTTGAACATTTTATAATTAAAATTGTCAAATACCATGTGCTGTAATTTTTATATTAGATAATTACTTTAAATCTCAGATGAGACTGATAAGTAGAAAACATTAATTTCATTATTTGATTCGGGCAATTGAAACTTAAGCATTAACAAACCATTAATATTAAAAATTAATTTGTTGAAAGTAGCTGAAAAAACTGTTAACATGTATCTAATATATTAAAAAATATCTAGACTATAATTTATATGTGTTTTATTCAATATTATTCCCCTTTCTTAGGTAATAATTAATGGATTGTTCATTATCCTGCATTAATTTGTCACTACTCTGCCAATAGTGCCACTCCCCTGATAACACATTTTCCCCTGGTGCTTATAAAATTCAAAAAAATGGAAAAATCTTCTGGCCCGTATCATTACAAATGCACAAATAGTGTCAAATAGTGATATTATTAATGTTGAATTAAACAGACTACATTTCCTTCAGGGACACAAAAAAATCAAATACCGTATATTCACCCTCATACACATTTTGTAAACCTCTTCCAAATATCCCCCAGACTCAACACCAAATAGCAACCCCACCCCTAACTGATTTGACCTTTCAAGGTCTGCTTTTTAATGATCAAAAAAGAAAAAGATTAAAATTTTTAATCAATGTAATAAATATCATTGTCATTGATGTAAATCAGTACTTTGTTGTACTATAAGTTTGATAAAATAACAAATAAGGTAAAAACACTAAACACTGGAAAAAACTGTTGAGATAAAAAAAAATATTTGGCATTATTTTTATGTTGAGAACATATTATTACATAAATTAGCAACAAAAAATTCAGCTTCTTACATATTTAATCAATGTAACAAAGTGAAACTACATTATAAATAATTACTTAGGACAAAAGATATTTCAGGTCTAATCTAAGGTAGTTAAAAAATAATGTTGGGAATAATTTTTCTGACTTTTAAAATGGGGTTCGCAAATTGATCGCGTACATCGTGACAAGATAACATAAGACTATGCCATTAAGCATCTCAAAATTCCGATTAAAATCTTAATAAACATGATAGATAAGCAGTGTATGTTATGAAGTAAGTGACCGAATTATATCATAATAATTAAATAAACTTCTAGAAACATGGGTAAAGGTGTTATAATTCAACGGGTCAACAATCTTCTTACGTTACTCATCGCATTTGCTTAGAATGTTGAATTTCATAAGACATTCATAATGGAGTCAAGTAGAAAGCTAAAATTATACATTTACCTGTCTATCAATTGATCCTCTGTCCCAGGCAAAGGATGAACCACAAAATGCATTGAAGACATTTTTGTAAGACGTTTTGTCTTCTATTTAATAGTTTTGCAATGTACACTTCAACATTAAAATAGTCCACCACAATGATATATGAACAAAAGAACACCATCTAAAAACTTCCTACAACCACCATATTTTATTGCTTGTGTTTCCACTCGCTAAGATCGTTTTTCGTTCTCAAATACATGTGAGTCGGTACATGACGAAAAAAGAAGGAAAATATCAACATGGCTTCTACGGCGGAAATGTTGGCAGTCATGACAAGTAATTTCCAGATAAGCTTGTAGAAAAAAAAAGATGTATCGATATATCTACATTTTATGATCCATATATTTTATTGCAATATCTTTTATTTCGATATAAAATATTAAGTATCAAAACAAAATATATCAAGTACGATATATTTCCAGTAGCAACACCGTAGACCAAAATCACTGGAATAGGGTATTTTGCATCATGTAAAAAATACGTATTTATGATCGGTTTTGTAATAAAATAAATATTTAAAAAAATCAAAAACCCGACTGCATAAAAGACAATTTAAAAGAAACGCACTAAAAAAAACCGAACCAAGATTGAGAATAGAAAACATTAAAATATGCACTATGCACAAAGTAAACTCTATTACGGTTTACGCTTTAGCAGAATATATTATGACCTGAAAGTCTAAGTAAAATAACAGCATTAAGTTTAGTAGCAGAAGGCACCTAGTTGCAAATTATAAACAGAAAGAAAATTATTGGGTAAAATGTTATTACTTTTAAATTGTCTTTTTTTGCAGTCGGGTTTTTGATTTTTATAAATATTTATTTTATTTAAGACTCTTTAATGTCCCGACACACTCCTATAAACTAAATTTCATATGATAGCATGAGGTCCGACACGAATATGGTCCATTTTTACGCTATCAAAAAATTTTGAAACCAATTTATTATTCCTAATTAAATTTAAGCATATAAATAATGTATAGTTTTTTAATCCCTTTTAATTTCCTTTATTTTCATATACTACTCAATAATTTTGGTTATGATTTTTTTTATTAATGTATTACATTTTTGCGCCAAAATCCGCCATTTTGTTTATTTTTTTCAAACAATTATCTAAGAACACTTGGATTTTTAAGACGAATATAACAATACCATAATTGTCGAAATCCATCCAGCCGCTTAGAAGAAACGAGGTAATAAAGAAATTTACGAACATACATACAATATACGAGTGAAAAACATAACCCTTCATTGGCAGTCGGGTAAAAAGTAAGCGAAAAATGTTAATTTCTATTCATAAAATGCATTATAAATTTTATACTTCTATTTTAAGAATATTTTTTTAATCCGTGTGTCAAATATTCAAAACGCTATCCTTTGTATTAGATTCCATCGTCAATGTGCTGTATGTTATTTCGCAAATTTTCATATTTCCATCACGATTTTTGTCTTTTATTCCGTATTTAATTAAAATGGCATTATGGAAGACATATACGTAAAAGCAGAAAGTATTAATCTACCAAGGACATTGATAGTGGTAAAAATTTTTGCATGCAATCTCGATTTTAGTTTTATGTTCCTGGGCTGATACTACTAGGACTGCTTTATCACACTTATTTTGAAGCATTAGAAAATCTGGAAATAGTAGTGAAAAAAGGTTAAATTAGTACTCATGCTGTCGATGAAATTGATAATTTATTGACATCTGCGTAAAATACAAATAAAATCAATAAAATAACTTTGACTACAATATGATAATGATTTAACATAATTTTCCATGTCTCTTCAATCTCTTTAGTTGTAGATATTATTTGCCGTTTAATAAAGGTATGCCCAGGTTTGTTCGGACTTCGGAGTGGATTTGCGTATTTTATATACCTGGCAATCGAATGGGTATGGTGTGCAGTTCGGTTTCATTCGAATCCATTAAAATTTTGGGCTGACAGCCGCTAATCCATCAGAGTCCTTTCAGAAATAGCGCTTAAATTTGGTATCCTCAGTTTCAACAGGAAGAATGTCATCAGTTGTTAATCTTAATGTACCCAAGAGTACTGTACTTAAGAGCACATCAAACTCAGAGTTTTTCTTTTCGCTAAGTAATTAGTTCGCATAAGTGCATTTAATTGTATTTTCGTAAAATTTAAAAGCTTTTTGTTTTTATAAATGTTTTATTAATTAACTATTTTTTATTATTGTCACATGATATGATGATGAAGAAAAGTTTCTAGTTTGTTATTTATATGAATGGTAATACTGATAGATTCATTGAACTAGATTAATAAAAACAAATGCAATAGAAATTCATAAAGTACAAATACTATTTAGAATATTTGACCGATATATCGACATTTTTCTTCATGATAAATTATAATCGGTATAAATATTTTATTAAAACATCGTTACTATATATATATATATCGATACCCTTTGGCACTTCCTTTATCCCCATTTCCAGAAAGGCCAATATTCAGAACACGAACACAGAGCACACGTGTAAAGAAACTTTACGGTACGATTTCTTTACTCACAGAGTATCTTCCATGGACGCGCCATTATATAAGTCTATGGTCCAAGGTACCTTTCATAGAATTATTATTAGAACTAGAAGGTTTACTTCGCAATAAGTACCGCCCGAAAAGAGAGGTCCTAGTAAGATACGTCATCTCTTTTTAAAGGGGTGCCCATAATTCAAAATAATTACGGACAGTCATAATTCTATCCGGGACTGGCCGTCACTGCTGGTAATAAAGGGCTGGTTCTTTTCTCGCTCAAAGTCTAAGTATAGGTATAGCCATTCAGCGAGGAAACGTAGCCAGTGTTCTTGGCACGATACCACGAGGAGTAGGACTGTATGATAATTTAAGTTATTAGTTTTAGTTTTACTTCTTTATTAATATTGTACATTTTACCCGACTGCCAAGTAAGGGTTATGTTTTTCGCACGTATCTTGTATGTATGTACGTTTGTAAATTTCTTTATTACTTCGTATCTTCCAAACGGCTGGACAGATTTCGACAGTTAAGATATCGTAATATATAACTAAGAACACTTGGGTTTTTAATACGTATATATACGTTTTTTTAATACGTATATACACGTTTTTAAAATGTATATATACGTATTAAAACCCAAGTGTTCTTAGACAGAAAAAGATAATAAATTTGCCGGATATTTGGCGCAATAGAGTAATACGTTAAAAAATATATATAACCAAACCTATCGAGTAGGGTATCGAAGTAAAAGAAATTAAAAGGGGATTACAAAAATATGTATAAGTTATATGTTACAATTTAATTAGGAATAATAAATTGGTTTAAAAAGTTTTTGATAGAGTAAAATTGGGCCAGGTTTGTGAAGGACTTTGTGCTATCAAATGAAATTTAGTCCTTATGAGTGTTTCGGGACACTAAATAATCTAAAATAAAATTAATAATTAAAGAAATCAAAAATCAGACTGCAAAGGAAGACAATTTAAAATTAATGCTCTAAAAAGACCGAAACAAGATTGAGAATAGAAAATAAAATTAAAATATACTACTATAAACAAAGTAAACTCTACTTCGGTTTGACAGACTTATTATGAACTGGAAGTCTTAGTTAAATAGCCGCATTAGGTTAAGTTGCAGGCGGAACCCAATTGCAAATTATAAACCGAAAGAAATTTAATGGGTTCCGCTTGCTACTAAACATAATGCGGATATTTAACTTAGGCTTACAGGCTTACAGTTCATAATAAGGTTTGTCAAGCCGTCTACTTCGGTTTGACAGACCTGCGCACAGCAATTATCTCATATATTGAGAAAAGTTTATAATTTAGTTCTTTATTTGTTTTCTCAATTTGTGCCACTGAGATATACGCCTTAAGTTTGTACTTGACCAGGAAAGCCGTGTTTGTTAAAAAAATATTAGCTGTATATTGTTTGAACACGAACGCGATTTTGTTGGCATTCCCTTTATGAATGGCCACCACTCCTTTTATCTCTGTTGCAAAAATATGGTTCAGACATATTGGACTCTTATTGCCCAGCCTTTCATTATTGGAGCTTTCAACAAAAACTTTAAACTCACTGTTAGAAGAGTTTTCAGGATATAGTCTTTTATAATTTGGTTCCAAAAAAATTAAAAACTCATCACCCCGCCACTGTTTACATCGTCTGCATCCTAGGAGTCCATTATTCTAGCACGTTTCCCTGTGGGACCTGGGCCTTCGCTGGCCGTTGGGATATCACCACCGGTCTCAGCTTTTAACACGGTAATTATTTACAAGGCTGTTAATTATACTGTATTCACAAGATTTAAACTAAGAAAAATGACATTTAAATAGCTTTTAGAAGAATAACTTGAGTTTGAAAAATATCGCGCACTCTCAGTTCAAATTATACATATATAATATATCATTACGCACTGGTATATTTCGTAAGCAATGGAATGGAGCTAAAGTGGTACCGATATACAAATCTGATGATGAATTTTTAGTTAGCAATTATAGACCTATCTCGATCTTGTCTACATTCGCAAAGATCTTTGAGGCTGTAGTATGTCCCTCAATTCAAAATCACCTTAAGCTTTACATTAAAGACAAGCAGCATGGATTTGTTGAATCCAGGTCAACATGCACAAATCTAACAAGCTTTGTCGAGAATCTGGCCCAAGCCCTCGACGGTAAACAACAGATCGATGTCCTGTATACTGACTTTAGCAAAGCTTTTGACAAAGTGCCTCATGACATTCTGCTCAATAAACTAGCATGTTATGGGTTTGCTGGTTCTTTTTTAACATGGTTGTCATCATATCTAGAGGATCGGACTTTTTACGTTGTGGTCAACGGCTTTCGATCTGATAATATTAGTATAACCTCAGGTGTGCCACAAGGATCACATCTTGGCCCTATCCTTTTTAACTTTTTTATTAACGACATCCCAGACTACTTAATTAACTCTTGTGTTTTTATGTATGCCGATGACCTGAAATTTTTAAGACATAAATTCAATAAAAGACTCAATATTATTACAAAGGAAAAATCT